CAAATTAGATAGGTTTGGTCATTGCCTACAGGAAAGCAGGGTTAATGGCAGAAGTAAGATTATGAGAACTGAGTTACATGCCAAATGAGTATTTCTGTCATTATGATACACAGCTCTTTCCTTAGTTTGGGTCATCATTATAATTCCAGGAACTGAGAAAGACATCACAAAAGAGAAAGACTTATCTTTCAAATGTTTTCTTTTGTCTTGGGAAAGATTTGTTACATTTCCAATAGCTTTATGTTCTTACCGGCTTTCACCCCTAGAAAGTTTCAGGATTGCATTGAAATGTTGATATCTGGAAAATATCTGCTTCTTAGCCATTACCAATTTCTTTTTTTTTTAAGTTTATTTATTTATTTTGAGAGAGAGCATGTGCAGGTAGGGGCTGAGAGAGAGGGAGAGAGAGAATCCCGAACAGGCTCTGCACTTGTCAGTGTGGAGCTCAACACAGGGCTCAAATCCACAAACCATGAGATCATGGCCTTAGCCATAATGGAGAGTCGCGATTGAGCCACCTAGGTGCCCCTACCAATTACCAATTTCTGAAACCCACACTAGGGCTAACCTAATGTGATACCTAAATCATCATGTCAAGTTTAGCTTTTGCTTAGGCTGAGGAAGGCAAGCCATCTATGGTCAAATTTATGCAACTTTTACTTATAAAAAATGTATTGTTTCATTTTGTTTCACATTCAACGGGGCAAGTAATGCAGACACTAATACTTAACACACTTCCTTCTTATTTTGCCTCTAAAAGTGGCTTGGTTGATATATTCTGCATAGACTTGAAAGGTTTAAGTGAATAGCAAATCCTAAAGAGAAGATTTTGGCATATTAAAACCTCTGTAAGATTTCAAAAGAGCTTATAACTAAAAGCTTATACTTTGGAGATTAGTTTAAATTTCAGGGCTAATGTATCATCTTATTATTGCTATCTGTAAAAGCTGGACTAAATAGGCATCTACCTTCAGCATCTTTACCAAGATTCATTTCTCTTTTAATATGTATCCCTTGGTCATCAGGTACCCATCCACATTCTGCTGAATGAATAAATGAATAGGAAATTGCAGTGACATAGTGTTCAGCAAATTCTAAACAAAATTTTAAAGAATTGTATCTAATAATATGCTTAACATCAACCATCTAAGTTATAGATTTCATTGTAGGCTTATAGTGGCGATGTCTCAAGCATACTGATAAAGGTATTAACTTTTAAATTCATATTAACTTAATAGGCAATACAATATTTTAAAATAAATTTTAAATTCCAAATTGTCTTACTCTTGCCAATAAATTGTCACTAATATTTGTATAAAATTTGGATAGAATTTCATACAAAAATTTTAAAAGGCCAAAGGCATGAGAAATTATTCCACCTGATATCATAAAGTTTGCATATTTATTCAGATCGTAACCTTGCAAGTCTGTTGAAAGTGGTATGGAAATTGTCCATGAACAGCCTTTCTCATTAGATTTTTGGCACCTCTACATCAGTCTCAGCCAGAACCCTGAAGAGCAAAGGCAAAATTGGAACACATTTATCTGAATATTTCAGAACTTTCAGTGAGGTTACTTCCAAAAGCTAGGGAACGGTCATGGGGATTCTTGTTTTTTTTCCCTGATTCTTCTTCTATGAAAATCTTTCATTATCCAAATTCATTATGGGAAAAAAAATGCTATCTCCAAATGTGTTTTATCTAGAATGTCTGGACAAAAAGTTTTTGGTTCAGTTTCAGGTCCAGAAAACAATCTTATTAAACACAGTGGCCATCCAAGTGCAATTTAAAGATCCCATGGCAATTTTCAAAAGGAGCAAGGATTAATTCCAAATCTTGGCCAATATCAGTAAAACTGCCTCTAATTTCCACAGTCCCGTTTGAGCTACTGTCAAGAGCATAATGGCTTTCTCCATTAGCATACATAGTTTCTCACTACCATTGTTTAACTCATTACTTTGTAAAGCACTTTAAAGTACTTTAAAATACCCCAAGTATGAAAACTGCTATTTAAAAACAATCTTGTGCTGTTCTGCACCGCATCAGAATAACCTAGCTAACCCACCTAAAATAGCCCTAATGATTCCTAAACTTGGGGTTTTACAAGTCTTTTTGTTTTCTCCAATTCCAAATAAAGTAAATGGCACCATGTAGAATACTTTCACTCCATATCTAATTAGTATGCTATATATATATATATATATATATATATATATACTTTTTAAAAAAATGACTGAGTAATCTAAGTCTCCTTCTTGACTATAAACATCTTGAGAGCAGGATCCAGTTTTAACTGTCTCCCCCAGAGTTAATCACAATACCTTAAAAAAGTAGATAATAAATATATGTATAAACATTGTCATTCATTTATTAATCCTTTCAAGTATCTTTCTACCCATCTTTCCTATGTGGCAGTTATGAGTCAGGCACTAAAGAGAAAGAAATACATTTTTAAAATAAGTAAATATCAACATATATAAACTGATTCTGTCAACAGTGGCTCTTAGAATAACATTGGAAAATAGAAATGAAAACAGACAAAACAATACAATCAAAGTCATGAAAGTCTTAAGCAGAGGATCTTCGGGGAATACAAAGGGAAGAGTAACTGGGGCTTTAGAGATGACTTCCTGGATGACATCTGCATGGGGCCTTTCAGCCATGAGTAAACGGTGTCAAGGCCAAGCAGAGGAGGAGCATCCAATGCACAGAACAGAGAATAAGCAAAGTCACCCTGTTCAGAGGATTTCAAGTTCTTAGTCTGACTGGTGCAGTATTCTCAATGAGAGCAGGATGGCCCCCTACACGTTGCTTTAAAAAATTAATGGAGATTTTTTATTTTATCCCAATGACCGGTAGATATTATTGAGGTATAAATGATAAAAGGCCAGAGATGTTAGATACTTGATAATGTGCAGGATAATCTTGCATAATGAAAAATTATCCCAAGTTTTATGCAGGTTTAGAATGTCCCTTCAGACATTCATGTCAATGAAAAACTTAGTTATAAGTATCTTGGCATAATGGCAAAGGAAACAATCAATAAAACTGATAGGCAACCAATGGAATGGGAAAAGATAGTTGCAAATGACATATCAGATAAAAGGGCTAGTATCCAAAATCTATAACTCACCAAACTCCACACTTGAAAAACAAATAATCTAGTGAAGAAATGGGCAGAAGATATGAACAGACACTTCTCCAAAGAGGACATCCAGATGGCCAACAGACACATGAAACGATGCTCAGCATCCCTCCTCATCAGGGAAATACAAATCAAAACCACACTGAGATACCACCTCACTCCTGTCAGAGTGGCTAAAATGAGCAAATCAGGAGACTATAGGTGCTGGCGAGGTTGTGGAGAAACTGGCACCCTCCTACACTGTTGGTGGGAATGTAAACTGGTGCAGCCCCTCTGGAAAATGGTGTAAAGGCTCCTCAAGAAATTAACAATAGAACTCCCCTATGACCTAGCAATAGCACTGCAAGGAATTTCCCCAAGGGATGCAGGAGTGCTGATGCATAGGGGCACACGTACCCCAATGTTCATAGCAGCACTCTCAACAATAGCCAAAACATTTAAAGAGCCCAAATGTCATGTCAACTGACGAATGGATCAAGAAGATGTGGTTCATCTATACAATGGAATACTACATGGTAATGAGAAAGAATGAAATCTGGCCATGTGTAGGAATGTAGATGGAATTTGAGGGTATTATGCTAAGTGAAATAAGTCAGGCAGAGAAGGACAGATACCATATGTTTGCATGTATAGGTGGATTAGGAGGAACTTGACGGAGGGCCATGGGGGAGAAGAAGGGGAAAAATAGTTGGGGAGAGGGAGAGAGGCAAACCATGAGAGATTCTTGAATGCTGAGAACAAACTGAGGGCTGATGGGGGTGGGGGGAAGGAGGGTGATGGGTATGGATGGGGGCACTTGTGGGGATGAGCACTGGTTGTTATATGGAAACCAACCTGACAATAAACTATTTAGAAAATATAAGTATCTTGGCATAGAGCCTCACCTTCCATTACATATAACACAAAATATTTCTATATAGTTTTGATATATACTGTACTTTTCAGGAATGCAATTATATATATCAAGGTAAGATTGTACTTTGCTTTGTTCATAATTTAATCAAAAGTCATTCACCATTTCAAAAAACTATTATCAATGAACAATACAACTCTAGGTATCTGAGTTGTCAATGCAGAGAACTGTATCAGTCTGTGTTTGCAGTTACCACAGTCAAGGTGATTTTATTTATAAGTACAGACATCTGACAACTTTATTAGGTCTTTTGGTATAGCTATGCCCAAGCATTTTATATTATTTTATTATATATTACTTTCCTTTTATGTTTCCTTTATATTTAATTAGGGAATAAGAAAAAATTCTGAATAAATAGATTATTTTATCTATGAGTTTCATTTCAGATTGGTAAAAGTGTGTTACAAAATGCTTGTTGTAATAAAGGAGGCTTTAGGTTGCTGAAGAGAGAATGGACCAGTGTGATAATAGCATCTCTTTCCCCAAAAAGCTCAGTTGTTACACATGAACCTCTAATTGCCAAGAGATGTTCCCAGTTCTAAGGGTCTGATTATAGTTTAATGCTTGCTAAAAAAATAAATGAGCAAAATCAAGTTAGGGGACCACTTATTTTTCCCTGCATGAAACATTTTAATGTGATTTTACACTCATATTTCCCTGTTTCAGCAACATAAAATGCCTGTCCCATCTCAAAGCCCAAATGAGTCAATTCAAGGGCTGTTTTTGCCTTAATTTTCCTGATTGACTCTTCAGGATCATCCAGAGATGGTAATCATAAAACCACTATTAATAAGCTAACATTTATTAGGCATCTACTACATGCTAGATCTCATGCTAGTGTTTTCCATAGGAAATCGCCTATCCACACAACTAACCTGTAGAGGTATAAACTTTATCAACACTTGTATAGATAAGACAGCAGAATTAGGTGACTTGCCTGAAGCCATAGCGACTTTAAGCAGTAGAGGCAGGATCCAAGGATAGGCCTGCTTCATCCAGAGCTCATAATCTTTCCAGGATCCAAAAGTTTGCGTATACAAAAATGGTTTTTCTCTTCTGTGTTTCTGTGGTTTCTCACCTTCTAGGCACATAAGGTTTAAAATTGACAAACTACAGCACATGGTTCAAATCTATTCCCACTTGAAGCTGTGGTGTGAAAATAGCCAAGAAAGCAAACAACTAAAACTAACAAACAAAAATACTCATTGGTTGTTATATGATGTCATGAGAACAGCAAAATCATGAACTTCACTCTGAAGTGTCATGAAAGCATATCAGATATGAACATATTGGTGTTGGATTTGTCCATGGAGAACTAATATTGCTCCAAAATTGGAATCACTGAATAGATGCTATTGGACCTAACTCTGACATAGCCCAATATTGGCTGAAACATGGAACATGATTATGATATATTAGAAGAGGAATTAGTGCCTGCCATATTATCCTTGGGAAAAATTACTTTCCTTCTTCTGATTTAAAAAGATGTGACATCGAAATCTTTACCATGTTAAATGAGGGATTCCTTTACACCAGGGGTAGGTTACCCATCCCATTATTTCATTATGGTAAAGAGGCACCTTTTCTTTTTAAAATGCTTAGAATAAAGGTTCCAAGGGATCCCTGTCTGGCTCATTCGGGAGAGCATGTGGCTCTTGCTCTCGAGGTCATGATTTGGAGCCCCACGTTGGGTACGGAGATTACTTAAAAAAATAAAATATGAGAAAAAAAAGATTTCAAGTAAACTATGAAAGAGAGCTAAGCAGTATTTGCTTTAAATGTACTCTACTATACAAATTTTAAATGCCTGAAGAGCTTTTCATTGATTTCTTTTTCACTTTTTTTCCACTCTCTTGATTCATCTTCATCACCATTACAACCACCACCCACATGTGAAGGCAGTGTCATCGAGTAGAAAGATAGTTTGTCTTTAGAACCAGAGAAACTTAGACTGAAAATCTCAGTCTGAATGAGAAGCCTGGAGCAAGTTGCTTTTCTTCCATACACTTTATTTCCTTTTCTAATAAGTGAGGATAATACCATGATACAGTGGAACTATGCCTGGCACATATCATATGCTCAATAAATGCAGCTATCCCTGAATGTACTCAGTGCCAAGTAGAGGGAGAAGCATAGAACATGGCCCCTGCCCTTGAGCAACCTAAAATCTACTTGGAATAGAGAACTCATTCATAACAGAAAAATGATAATAGAATGTGGACTATACTAATCTCAAAATGAGTCAGACAGACAGTAACTATTAAAGGAGTTCCCACAGGTAGGAGCAGGTAAGTAGGACTGTGGAGAAGAGTCTGTGATGAGATAGAGCTGGTCAGGAAGGCACTTTCCACAACAGGGCTGGCAATGACTAGGCACAATGCCAAGGACCCATGATGCTGCATGGTCCACATCTTTTCATGTTTATTTCTTTTAGTAACAATGAATGTATAATAATCAACCCAGGTTATATGTGTCTTTGTACTAACACAGTCATAAATTTTTTTACATTTTTTTTGGTGTGGAAGAAAGGGCCCCTGAAGGCAGATATGCCAACTCATAATATAGCTGTGCCAGAAAGAGAACTGGGAATCTTTTGTTCTGAAAGTTTTTGTCACTCACTCTGTTGTTACCTTACTCATTATTGTATGTGTCCTCCCAAAATTTAAATGTTGAAACCCAATGCATAATGTGATAGTATTAGGAAATGGGGTGTTTGGAAGATGCTAAATCATGAGAGCAGAGCCCTCACAAAGGGCATAAGTACCTACATAAAAGAGCTCCCCAGCTCCTTCCCCCTTAATGAGGGAATAGCTGCTTAGGAAGTGGGTTCTCACCAGACACCGAATCTACCAGCAGGCAGCATGGTACTGGACTTCTCAGCCTCCAGACCTACATGAAATAAATGTTTTTTGTGTATAAACCACCCAGCTTAGGGTATTTTTATTTTAGCAACCCAAACAGACTGAGACTCTTCCCAAAGAGTTTATGAATGAAACCAAAAAGCAAAGGTACGTCATAGAACGAAACCAAATATTATTTCAAAGAAAGGTTTTAAGAGAACATGATTTTCTTTTTCAACTCTTCCAACTTTGCCTGTCATACCTCATAAAAATCATTCAAGCTTATTCTGAATACTGAAGGGCTCCAGAGGCAAGCTCTTCAATCCACGGGGATCCAGAAAGATGTGGTCCTTCTCTGTGCCTGTGTATTGTTGGGCTGTCACCAGATGCTCACTGAGACAGATGTCACTAATTCCCTTCCTACAATAAAAACAAAGGGGTAATCAGAAGTTGACGACTGGAGTCCCTGAGTCCCTGCCTAGATTTTTTACTACTACTGGAAAAGAAACAGCTACATCAACCCGCATGGAGAAGGGAAGAACTAAATTTGAGAACTGTTTTTGTTTTACATGAAAAGCTCAGTTACCTGTCTTGTTCCCTACTTCATTACAGAGAGGAGTATTATGTTTTTACATTTGTAGTCCTCAAATCCAAATGATATCAATAAATTGATATGAGGGTTGCATGAATTAGGATCTTTTTTCAGAATTCTTTTCTGATAAGGATCATAGAATTTTGAGCCAGATTAAATTGTAGGCACTATCAACTTAACCCTTTTATTCTGTTGCTGTCTCTATACTTACAACTAACTAAATATGTGTCACCAGATTTTCACCTCTTTTTTTTTTTTTTTTTAATTTTAGAGAAAGAGTGTGAGAAGGGGAGAGAGGCAGAGGAATTGAGAGAGAGAGAATCCCAAGCAGGCTCCATGCTCAGTGCAGAGGCAGATGTGGGACTCGAACCCTGAACCAGGTCATGACCTGAGCTGAAAACAAGAATCAGACTCTCAACTGACTGAGCCACCCAGGTACCCCTCACCTCTTATTCTTCCACTCAGGCTTTCCTCATAGGCCGTGATTAATATTTCCCAGAATATTTTGTGGCTTCTCTTCTTTTGCTTACCCTGTAAGAGTGTACCAGGTTTTTTGTATTTGTATTTGCATTTGTATTACTTCCTTTTCTCTTTTATATCTCATCCCAAATTTGAAGAGTAATTTCCAAGTTGTCCTTGTTCATGCGTCTGTACTGGGCTCATTCCATTAAATAACCCTGACCCATTTACCTCACAAATACCAAAGTTCTACATAGGCACTGGCCATGTCTTCAAACTAGTGTCATTCAGACCACCTTGCTTGATGTTAAACCCTTTCTCCTTTAGCTCATATTTCTCAGTTCTCGAGTTCGTTTTACTTCACATCTCAGTTTCGAGTACTTATTCAGTTCCTGCTCGGCTTTACAAGTTACTTCAGACTTGACTCTCTGGCTAGATCTTGGCATTCTCTAATCTTCATTTCAATTCTGGTCTAAAATCATGCTCCATTACTTGTGGTAATACACATTCCTATTTCCTTCCCTCATTCCACGGACCCATGAATGGCCCTCCCCTCCATCCTCTCTGTGAGGAAAACCAGAAAAATGGCCATCTATCATATCTGTACTTATGACTCCTGAATCATTAGGTCAAACGTCTCTCGTAAGCATCGCATTTTTACTTTCAGTTTTGATGAACATCTTCTCATTAGCTACAAGATGTGCAAAGAGAACTGACTTTCCTCCATGTCCCCCTCTATTAATTAACTGGCCTTATCATCCTCCAATGTTTGATACTTCTTCTACTTATCACGTTTACCTCAGCAAACTCTTTTCCATGTATACACTGTTTTTAGATCTACTGTTATCACCCTACTTTATAACCTCCTACTTAGAGGTTATTAAATTCTCTCCCATTGGGCACCTGGATGGCTCAGTTGGTTAAGGTCTGACATGGGCATATGTCTTAATGTCGTGTTTCATGAGTTTGAGCCCACATTGGGCTCCACACTGGCATTGCACAGCCTGCTTGGGATTCTCTCTTTCTCTTCTCTCTCTGCCTCTCCCCCACTTGTCCGCTCTCTCTCTCTCAGATAAATAAACCATTAAATAGATAGATAGATAGATAGATAGATAGATAGATAGATAGATAGATAAATTCATCCTCTCCCACAAGGACTATTCTGTCCTAAGTGTCTACTCTTAGTAAATGGCACATAGTTCTGTCAGAGTAGCAATAGTATAGGAAGGAAGGAAGAGAAAGAATAGTCCAAGTGGAAAGATAAGTATGAATTGAGGACACATACATAAAACAACTCTATGTATACAGGGGACTTCCAGTAACTCTTTTCCATGGTGGCTGTATCATAGCTAGAGTGGGACTTTCAGAATTGGAGATGGAAAGGTAAGGTAGACCCAGGAAGGACTGGGCTTCTGTGTCTTCTTAAGAAGATTAGACCTTGGGGCACCTGGGTGGCTCAGTCAGTTAAGTGTCCAACTCTTGATTCCAGCTTAGGTCATATTCTCACAGTTCATGGGTTGTGGGATCAAGTCTTGCATCAGGTGCCACACTGACAGGGTGAAGCCTGCTTGGGATTCTCTCTCTTTCTCTCTCTGGTTCTCTTTCTGTCTCAAAATAAATAAATAAACTTAAAAAAAATAAAAGACCAGACTTCATTGTTGAATCAGTGTAGTGTTATGATATGCTTACGAATCTAGAAGACAGTCGTATTAGGACTTAGTGACATTTAAATACAGGAAGTGAAAGAGGCAAAGAAGGTTGTAAATTCCATGAAAGTGGGGTTGGCTTTTAAGCATTCTGACAGTCATCATCCTTTGTCTCCTAATAGTCAAATCTTCACTTTGTTTCTCATAAAATACTAATAGAGGAAAATGCTCAGCAAAAATAGGTCCCTCCTAGTGATTAACGTTGATTAGTTGAAAGCAAAATTATAATCTCAATCTCGCTTGCTAGCAATTTCGGTGGACATGTTACCCAGTTTGGGATAGGCTGCTTAAGTCTTCTGGGAAAGAATATTCCCCCTGATCAAAATGAGAAGCTGATTCTATAATCACAGCACCTTTCTTGTGATCGCAAAGGATCAAGCTTGAATGACAATAGCCAATATACTGAGGAAAGAGGAGTAAGGGAGGGAGTAAGGGAGGGAATAACCCTGGTCTTTAATGACATCATGGAGCCATTAAACTGACCCCAGAACCACCAACATTTGGAATCCTTGTCATGGAGACAATCAATGTCCTAATTGTAAAACTACTTCTGAATTTTCTTTTCTTGTCACCCTTTTCTTGCCACCCTCACTGATGCATAAAGGGGTGATTAACGGCACAGGTGCTGCAAGTGAACTCCCCCAGAGTTCAAATCTTAGTTGTGTCACTTTACTAGCTGTGCGAGCTTGGCTAAGTGACTTAACTGCTCTGGGCCTCTGTTTCCTCATCTGGGAATTTAAAATGATAATAATAGTGCCTACCTCATAAAGTATTTTGAAAATCAAGAATACAATATATACAAAGCCCTTTGAATATTCTGGTACAATGTAAGAGTCAATAAGAGTCATTCGGTCATCCAGGTGCTCAACAAATGTAAATTTTTATTGAATTAAATTCCAGATAAAGAAACTGGGTCCCAGGCACATTAAGTCACTGATTCATGGTCACATGGCTAGTTTGGGGCTGAGGCTAGAGTAGAATAGCAACTGACAGAGTTGGGGTTCTGGAATTTTCTAGTGAGGAAGTCTTTAAAGACAGTAACTCTTTTCCCTCAGCAAAGTCAGGAGATATCTGCAGATGGATAGGGCTCAGAGTTCATCTTATAATAACATTTCATTTTTTTAACGTTTGAAATTTAAAATTTTGTTTGTTTATAGTATAAAACTGTCTAGTGCAAGAGTTTTAAGGGAAAATTTCTTTTCAATATAACCAGTGGAGGCTGAAATTAGAGAACTCTTGATTTTAAGAATGGTTGCTCATGAGACCTAGTCTTACCAGTGGATTTTACATTTTCTTTTTATGATAGACTTGGAATTTATTCTCTGACATAGAATAATCCATACTTCTGCGCACTGAAGATTTTTGCATTGGGAAACTTTGAAAATGTCCTTCTGCCCAATGTAAGAGGGCATCTGTTATCAATTAAATTGAAAAGGTGAACTTCCTAGGAATAGAACTAATTCTAATGGTTGTCTTTACAAAAATTGCTACCAACACATAATGGGTACTGAGTAAGCTACATAGCGTTAACAGTTTATAAAATAAAATATAAAGTGCAATACATAATAAAATTCACATTTATTTAATAATGTGATATATAGTACCATGAGGTGGTATGGTAGAACAATCACTGGACTGGAAGTTGAAAGACCTATATTTGAGCATCAGCTTCAAATGACATGGGTCAAAGCACCCACCTTCTCTGAGACTCATTTTCTCTAGCTGCAAAATTGGAAGAATGATAATAATAATATATCATCAGTTTTGTGAGAGAGAACTCTTCATATATAAAATGTAAAATTTTACATAAATATTTCATTTATATCTTGTATAACTTATAATCTTCTTTATTAAAGAGTTATAAATTCTTTGATTATGGGGAAAATGCTGAGATAAATAGCTCTATATCCATTCTGGCCATTTCTATTATTTCTGACCCTCATATTTATTTATTAAGAAAAATCTTTCTTTTTCTTTTCACTTAATTCAGTAAATTGGTACGTGTCATTTGCATTATACTTGGCATATAATACCTTAAGTGCTCAAAAATATTTTGCTGAATGTTGATAAATGTTATGGAATTCTAGTGGAACACTAAGAAAAATTCAGGGGTGGGAATAAATAATAAGAAGGCCATGGAAAAGAGAATTAATGAAGAGAGGTAGAAAATCAGCGGGGAGGTTGGAGGGGAGGAAAATCAAGGCTTTCAAGAACTGGCAGGAAGAGGGAGTCCCTATTCCCTAGAGAAGCCTCTCTGTCCCCAGTAGGGAGTTCTCCGGTTATGATTTCCTCCTTCTTCTTTCACACGCATTTTTGGTCAGCTTCTCGGCAGGTCATTGCTAGTTTATTGCTTCCCTTTCTCTGTCTTATTTAGTTTCTGTCTCTCTATTTCCTCCTGCTTCTTATTTGTCATTCTTCTCTCTTTCTCTCATTGTCTATGAGTGTCTGCATGGTGCATTCCATGTGTCGTCTAAGGACACACACCCACATACACACACACACATACTCAGACAATTTACATTGAAAGTGAAAACTTAAAAAAACTTTTAATGTTTATTTATTTTTGAAAGAGTGAGAGAGTGAGCATAGGAGCAAGGGAAGGGCAGAGAAAGAAGGAGAGAGAGAATGTTGGGTCGGGCAGTGCCGAGCCTGACTCGGGGCTG